CACTAGACAAATCTAAACGAAGAAAATGCTGGAACTATGTTAACGTAGCCAATCAGTTCCGTTCTTTTCAATCAGTAATAATGTAAACGAACAATGTGTATTCTGATAGGAGAGTTCTGTCGACGCGCAGACAGAAATTTCTGATTGCTAAAAGCATTATTTTTAAAAACAGAGCTTCGAAATTTAGACAGAGAGTTTTTGGCAGCGGACGCTGAACGTAACACGACTTTTCTTGCCCAGTTTTGCTGCTCAGTTATTCGGCATTAGTCAATTTGCTAGCTAAGTTCTATCGAACGCTTAGTAAATTTGATCCGGCACTTGTAAGTCTGTTTGTATGATAGACTTCAGCATCTAATTAATTTAAACTTTACGTTCACCTTTCTATTACTGATATCTCGCAAGCTGCGGAAATTTAAACTGTAAACCCAAATAGTGCATTTGTCCAGTATAAAGTTTTAAATATTTGAAAAAAAAAGTTGTTTTTTCAAATATCTAAACCTTTTTCTGTTTCAGTTGTTGATTTCACAGACGAGACGAAAACTCACCTGACTGTCTTAGCAAGATTTAAAAACTTTAGAAAACTAAATAACTAAAACTTTAGAAAAACTAAACTTTAGAAAAACTAAAACTTTAGAAACTACGGGCAGAAGCCCTATAGCATAAATATATTAACGTATATCATAAGCGCCTGTGCATCATTCACCCAAAATTCAATTCCTGCATGGAATAATCCCACATTATTTTTCATAGCGACATTTCAGAAGCCAACTTGACCTATAGTTTCCGCTGTGCGATTGTATTAATATTTTAATTAAAGTACTATTTGCTATTACTATTTGAACAAAGCCAAGCCCCGCAGACCTGACTTAACGTCTCCTTTCAGTTCCGAACATAATTTTGTCTTTTTCTCTTTTCCAAGCCTCTACTTGCCTCCCATCGACATCTGAATGCTTTACGACCAGATGTCAATATTTACGCAATCCGAGAGAGTTACTTCAGGAACATACATTACATTAAATATTTTATAAAGCCTGTCACTGAAAGCAAGCTCGCTTATGGGATATTTCCAACTATCTAGTCATGCATTAGGATTTTGAGTCGAAGAGCATATTTTCAAAGGACTTTAACTCATTTTTCTTTAAGAAAAACGAATTTAATGTTTCCAAATAAAGTAGTTAATGGCTAATAATTTTTATGTAATATCAATATTACACTACACTGTTGGATAGAAATATTTTATGATAATCCCCATTTCAAACAGTCAAAGAAAACTGTTGCGCTATTCAAACAGTGATTTTTTAAATTGATTACTGTTTGAAAGCAATCCAAGTAGTTTAATCATAGCGAAAATAAATTCGGACACACAATCTTGAAATAATATCGCTTTTTAGTTACTCCAGTTCCTTATTTATAAACACTATCTGTTCACTACTCTTTTTCTATTTGTGTGTCTATTTTTATCTTCGGTGTATTTTTGCTAGATTGCTTTTGAAAGCAAAAGACTTCATAGGGTTGATGAACACCCACATCTTCTGGCAATCCCGTAATATCAGATTTTTGGCTTTAGAAAGATAACTTTTAGAAGATAACTTTTATCTATTCTATTTGAATGTTGGTTTTTTAAACTTTGTTTTATACTTCCCCTTTGTAATTTCTAGCGTGTTTTTTTTTTTTTTTTTTTTTTTTTTTTTTTTTTCTGAAATAAAATAATACTTGTTTAGGTTCTTGTGAGAGAATTTTGCATTCGAAAACTCGCTTTCTGTTGCTTCTGATACACGGAAGCCCTTCCAAACCCAGAACTTTACATATTTGATTTTTTTCAGGACAAAGTGCGTCAAATTAGAAACTTTTATTGCTTTTGACCATATTTAAAATTTGGAAACATTCTTCTGAATTGTTGTGTTCATTCTTCATGTATATATATATATATATATAGTATATATATAAATTTAACAAGCATTGTGTGAGTGTATTAGATAAAAAAATATGTAAATCAAAATTATAAATTAGTAAATTAGCAATGGTCCTTAATTCCCCCTTCTCTTCTAAAAATCGTAATAACTTTTCTGGACGGTTGTCACTTCTAGATCAATCTATCTTGCGTGGCTTGCATAACGCTCATGACGTAGCTGATTCGGAACTTTTGAGACTCAAAATTTTGAGAATTGAAACTTTCCTAACATAAACCAAAACCTTCTCTTGGTGAGCTTCTATATTGGATAATTTTCGCAATTTAGTTTATGCCTATCTTCCTGCAATTTTGCGCTGTTTCGCTGTGCTCTCTTCCTCTCGCAAAAGTGTCAAGAATGTAAATGTTCTTGAAAGGGCACTGTTAGAATCCCAAGTAGTATATTGTAGCTAGAAATATCAATTGGAATAAAAAGGAATGTTTAGTCTTATTTCGCTGCCAAGCTTTCTAGTCATTACGGATTCAACATTTTAGTTTTCTGCGTAATCCGAATTCTTCCTCTTCACTAAGGATATACGTTCTACGCTATCAGCAGTTTTGCGTTTCTACATCTCAGTGTTCCTACATCAGTACTTCTAAATTTTTCATTACATATATGTATTTCATTGTGGCAAAAGTTCAAAAATTGCGCAGGATAATTTTGTTGCTTTAAATACCTGAATGCTCTTGGATTAGATACATAAAATGACATTTGATGAATAATCAGAATGGAACAAGAGGAATAGAGCATTTATTTACAAGGTTAATTACTACAGGTTTAATCATGTTCGTTTTCGTTCTTCTCTGAACACAAATAAGTGCATTACAGTTTTAAATTGCTGTTTCTTTACCTCTCTTTTTCAGCTGCCAGTATTTGCCTCATCATATTTAATTGTATTTCAGAACAAAAGCTTTTTTTTAATTTTGCCTCTCTAGAATTATAAAATCACTGAGAGTAAAAACCCTGCCCATAGAAAGATGTAATGTTCTTAACCAGCTGCCTACATGTGAAAGTGCTCGAGCCAAATAATATTCTGAACGCCTGGAATCAAGTTTAGGCTAGATTGTGATGAAGAGGACGTCTCTTCCTTGGTATTCTTTAGGACTATCTCAGACCCAAATGAGCATTCAACTCAGCTGATGCATATTCCGTAAAACGGATAGCTTTCTCTGAATCTCTGTTCTGAAGACTGATTTCATATCTCAGACACAAATGAGCATTCAACTTAGCTGATGCATATTCAGTAAAACGGGTAGCTTTCTCTGAATCTCTATGTGATATTTACTTTTGTAAGTATCCAATAAAACCTTAAAACAATACTTGAGTTTATTCAGATTTTTAAAGCATACATATATATTATGTGCTTTAAAAATACTGAAATATTTTGTAAATAAATTCTTATAAAATGCGATTGCTTTATTGATATGACATTTGTTAGCAATGTTTTTAATTGTTATCGTTTTATAAATTTAGATTTCAGATCATTTTTTAAGAAAACAAAGGAAACAGAGTAAAATCATCATATTGATACTCATGTTTTCGTTTGTGTAAATTTAATCAGAAACCATTTCCCGACAGAAGGTAACTTTCATGTGCTCTCTACTAAACAATTCCTAGACTTCCTTAAAAAACTGAAGTTTAACAGTTTTGAACATAGGAAAATTTCCAGTAAAGTAACTAGTAAAACCGTGATCTTATGACGTTTTACTTTTATTTTTTTGAATAGAAAAAGCGTTTATTTTCAAGATATAAAGAACCTTCCAAACAGCGGTAAAATTTCAAGAGAAAAGTAAACAAAGGCAAAATGTAACACTTAAGTAAGCAAGAGATAATAACTTTTAGAGAACACAAGATTATACTTGAATAACATTATCGACATTTTCTGTAAGCTGATTAGAATGCTTCAGTTGTTTTTATACCTACTGCACCTTTTTTGCTATGAGATGAAAAAAGTATTTATTATTCGCCATATCGTTCCATTAATATGGATTGCATGTATTCACAGATGGGTTCCCCTCTTAGTTATGCAACAAAGATGCAAAATAAAATACATCAGGGCCACGATTATTGAAGTCATTGCTCCTAGAGTTACTTAGCGGAATGTTTTAGGTAAACATTTCGAATATCTTTGGAATATATCCGAGATCTGATTAAGCAAAGCTCCGCAATATATATCTAGTTCCTGTAAGTAACAATAGTATTCAGTAAATGATAAATTACTACGGAAAATGGATAGAACTTTCAGCAGTATCAAGGCAAGATCTGTAATTAATGTCAAGTTTGAAGTTTTTAAAGTTCATTGTTATTTATAAAATAGTATTTGAATTCACGTGTTACTTATTGCTCAAAAATTCACCAAATATAAAAGGTGCTTCTCCCTCCCCGTTTATAAAATTAGATCAGTTTTGCATTAGTTCCGGTGAACGTCGTCTTTCCCCTGTGTCCTAATATTTCTTAATTAATGCTAAAAGGCACAATAATTTTTCTAAATGTACTTTTATTTCAAATGCTACTAAAGAATGTCACATGTACCTTACATTTTTAACAAAGGTACCCGTTAGAGGGGTTTTAAAAGCATTACAGAATTGGCAGTTTCACAATAGTACTTCCCATTTCCATGTATATTTCTTTATATTAAAATGTATCCATGTACTGAAATTTTGAATTTTTCGGAAAAATGTGCTGAATTCTTCTTTTTTAAAAAGAGGAGCAATTTTTCTCCTATGCGTCTGGAAATTTAACTAATCGATAAATTTTTATTTTAATCTCCAGTATTATATAGTGCATTCAAAGTGTACTTAAATTTCAAGACATTATTGTAGTTCTACAATATTGTCTTGAAACATTTCAAGGAATTATTGTAGATGTATATGATTACATTTCAAGGGTATATGATTACATTTCAAGGAAGAAAATAGTTGGAAAATTTTAAATAATTTTAAAGTAAATAAACAAATAGCACTGATGAGTGAAAGTTTGTGTTTATTTTTTATACTTTTTATCCTACTGACAATATTTCAATTCATTTATTTCAGTGCTTTTCTTTTCTAGGCAACTTGCTGGTCATTTTTGTGGTCATAATGCATAGACGTATGAGAACCATTACCAACTTCTTCTTGACTAATCTTGCTGTGGCTGACCTGTGTGTGGGTTTGTTCTGCGTGTATCAGAACTTATCTTTCTATCTAACCACTCACTGGGCATTTGGAGAATTTCTCTGCAAGATGTACCACTTCATACACAGCCTCAGCTATACGTCATCTATTGCTATACTGATAGTAATATCAGTGGAGCGGTATGTTGCTATTGTTCATCCCATGTTGAGCAAGCAGGTGAGTTCAAATCCAAAGAATCATCTAATTTCATAATGCAAATTTTCCAGTTAAAATTTCATGCAAAATTTTATCAAATATAAAAAATATCAAATATCGAGTTTTGCATACAGTTTTAAAAAAATCAAAAGTTTTTTCCACGTTAATGATAGCAGCATTTTTTCCTATACTGATAATCAACATTAATATAAGTTTCATATTTAGTCGATTATTTCCAGAGCTGATGGACAGGTTTCAATTAAACTTTGTATGGACACAGGCTGATAAAGTACTAAAATATGTACTACACAAATGTCGTGGTACACATGCATTATTGTGTGTGAGGCGCAGAAAGGTCTAAAACAAAGGTTTCAAGATCAAGCAAATACAAGGAGGCTTATAAAGGGTATATTTCTCCTCTAAGAGTCATACAGCTCTCACAACATAACTTCATACTGGAAATGAAACAGTTTATGAGTCTTTGAGGCAGTCGGCCCCATTCCTGCAATAACGCTGTTTTGAAGTCCTGGAGAGTTCCGGGAGGTGAAAGCTAGCTGCCGTTTCATTCCCACAGGCGTTCCAAGACATGATCTATAGAGTTCAAATATACAGATTTCGCTAGTCCACTTAATATTTTCACTTTCCAGAAAACCATCTACAGATTAACGCTATGTGAACGAGCATTCTTGTCAAAATTAACGAAGTGCCAACTGCAAACCTTAAAAAGCAAACATAGAGTTTTAAGATCTCGTAATGTTCGCAAGAAGACCTGCTATTTGCGTTCCACTCACTTCTGGGCCAGAAGGGACTTTAGCAAGAGAACATCCACTTTTGCCAGGACCTCTCTCTTTGCAGATTGAAACCCAATTCCGCCTAACCGCTGATTTTCAACGTACATTTATCTGGAGAGAACCAGCGATCCTCTAATTGTACTCCAACATCCAAGAAAGAAATCAACATATCAATGGAGGCTTGATGGTCTCGAAAGGCGCATAGAACCTTGTGTGAGCGCACAGGACTTCATATCTCTCAGAGCGATCCTCTGACCCCTGTGAGTTACAGTAAATTGACCTAAGCGTCCTCTGTTTGCCTTTTCAAGAAGCTCATTTTTATGGACAAAAACGGTTCGCCTAGGGCTAATCTGGTGGACTGTTTTCTAGAAAGTAAGGATATTAACCGGGTGGATTAGCGAGCCAAATCTTCAGACCTAAACGCTAAAGAACATGTCTAGAAGTCAAATCTTCAGACCGAAATACTATAGAACATGGCTGGAACAATTTTGGGTGAGCAACTGCAACTAACTGTCCTCCTGTTAGAACCTTTCAGTATCTGTAAACATTGTTGCTGAAAACTTTAATCTACAGCCAAAAGGACTCATAAACTATTCTGTTTCATTTCAAATCATTAGTTAATGAGTTCTTCATATTCATAACACATTCTGCCTTCATACTGGTAATGCATTCTGAAATTTTATGTTTCATATAAGTAATCAGACTGGCTTCACTTAATTTTCGTTCCATTTCCCCGGTTATTATTATGAACCAGACATTATTATATGACATTATTATTATTATATGACAGAATTATGAACCAGTCTGTCTTGGAACGTTTACCCTGAAGCTAATTCTTCTAAATCAGGTAACCTTCTAATTCATTTCCCCAAGTCATTAAAAAACTGCTAGCTATTCATTGCAGGCTAAAAGCATTTTACATCCTAAAAATCTGCCTTAATATCTTCTCCATAACTAAAAAATATGGCAATGCTTGAACAAAGAAGTTCAAGTTTAGTTAATCGCTGAAGCCAAATACAGGCTGCAGTCTTGAAATTTCTTGACCCGGAAGGTTAATTGGACATATTGGCAGACGAGTCTGATTTCGCTATAGAAGCTGTGCTTATGCGGGATGGTAAGCTGGCTGAATATTTTAATCAGGTCTTAATCAAAGAAACAGAAATTTCACTGTTACTAGGAAAGAGAGATTGGGGTCCTGTAAACTGTTACAAAATTTATGGTTATTTCCTCAAAGAGCCGTAATAGCGTATAAAGACCATGCAATTATCATTACCCTCGATTCAAGAAATAATCTATCGCCGAGGTTGACAAAGTGGGCACTTAAGTCACAAAGATATAATTTAAGAGTAAAACACAACTCTGCGAAGGAAAACGTCGTGTCTTATGCTGTATCACAAATTCAATTGAATAGTTAAGAAAAAGAAATAAGATGGGCCATGTTAACTTCGAGAGTTACTCATTCACGGTAATTAATGTGTCGAAAGCATTTCCCGGCATTAAAAATACTTATGCGTTTCCGGTTATTCTGCTTCACCTCCCTGCTTATTGGATTGTTTTATCGGCTTTAGCTTTACTAGATGCGAGTTATTCGTTAAATGTTTAGATCTGAACCAAAGCTGATTTAAGCGTCGGTCACCTTATAATAAATATTTCAATACTGCAAACTTTGTTCATTGTTGCCCTCAGTTACCAGGTTTTTAAGTTTCTGTCACTGTGCAACTTGTGTAACACCAAATTGACGTGTTAATGAAAGGTTTATTTTAAACCTTATCTTGAAGAGACATTAGGTAATTTTGGAAGCAGGAAGTTGAAGAAATAATCAATGCCCTCGCCGGGACACGAACCACTGACCTCTGGAATACGCGCCGAGTGTGACCACTATACCACGAAGGCATGCTAAGAAGGCGGTAGAAATACTTTATAATTTGTGTTTAAAAATGTTTGTGTTCAAAAATACATATATTTAGAAGTGTGCATCTTTAAACGGTATGACGGAATTGGTTTGGTTTGGTTTATTGAGATTACGGCAAAGCACACTAGGGCCATCTGCCTAAGGGGAGGGGTGCCTTCGTGGAGGACTTTCTAAGAGAAACTGGCTCGTATACACGTTACACATCGGTATGACGGAAAAATAAGCCGTAGTTATAAGAATGGGCATCTAAAGTGACGTGGAACCGTACGTAGGTTTTTTATTATGTGTAAACTTTGAAATGCGTATTTCCTACAAACTACATGAAGAATATTCTCTGCATGGAGACGTAAATATCAACCAAAGTAAGTTCATTCAGTGCTACACAATTCAAGTGAAGAAACTGTGATTTTGAAACTTTTCAGCAAAGCCGGATTATGGTCTATCTTATTGAATACAATAAAATATATTTAGGAGCAGGAAGTTAAACTTAGTTTTTACCAAACTGTGAATAAAAAATAAAAGATTTCATCTTCTACTGTTAACTAATTTTTTGCAATATTCTACATATAACATTTAAAAATATAAAATACATTGTTGCCGTGTGGCTTCCTTACAAATGGCTAAAATTGCTAATTTCGTCATCATCTCAAATATTGCCGTAAGAATTCCTCGATAAGTGCACATGCAGTGCTAATGTAATCAGAAAAAAGGAACATTTTCATTCAGCCTTTCTACTTTTTCAATCTCTGTCTAAAATATGAAGCATAAATTATTTTATCAGTCGATTGTTAATGCTGAATCTCTTTCAACTAATTCATTTTATTAAGTTTCGCAATAAAGGTTTCTAAAATCGACATTTTGTGAAATATGTTTTGAGCAATACTATTATTTTAAGCTTTCGAAATCAGTCGCAGATTGCTTGAAACAAACTAATGGTGCTATCGTTTGAGTTTTTTTACTAAATATTTCTCTTATTAAATCCTTAAGTGAAGATTTATCTCGGTCTCCTAACGAAGGGCTCGACATACTATTAAGATGAATTGATTTCATGTTCCTTAACTTAACCAGGTCGAGTTGATTTCATGTTCCTTAACTTAACCAGGTCGAGTTGATTTCATGTTCCTTAGGCCGAGCTGAAATACTTATCACCATCTGTTAGTCATGAAACTTTAAATATCTGCAAGTATTTTTATTGATGCCTTTCTCTGAACATTTTTATTATTTTTGGCTTCCCAAATAATGATTTAAAATTTTTATAAAAAGAAATAAATTTTTAATAACCGCCATCCATCGTAATCATATGCTGTCTTGATTTTAATCTCATATCTCATGTTATTATATACAGAACAAATAGTTCCATACCTTTCTTACCTGCAGAGCCAGATCTTGTGTAGTAAAGTATTTTTATGCTTCGGAGAGGGGTTTTTGTTATCAGTAAACAACAAAATGCTGTTCTTTAAAGACAAAGATCAGAAACACGAAAGCATGTTGTTGCCAATCGATGGCGCATAAGATCTCTTATGTTGGAATTTACGGATGTAGGCTCCTCACCGGTGTAAAAGAAGTAAATAAATTTTAAAAAGTTATTTTAACTGTAATATTTAATAATCATTTTGCAGCAACCGTTATTTTATAATTTTAAAAGTGAAAAACAAAATACGTTTAAACGCTTTTTAGGTATATTGATTTCAAAATGACTAACTCTGCTTCATTTGTACACTGATGTATGCATCTAAATTAGTTTCATTTGTGCACTGATGTAGTATGCATCTAAATTAGTTTCATTTGTGCACTGATGTAGTATGCATCTAAATTAAAGTCGAATGGGGACAAAAGTTATAGTAACAAATAGCCTGCAATCCTTTGTATACAATTTTTTTTATTTTCTTCAAAAAGATAATACATTTTTTATAATGTTTTGATACTTTTTTATGCTTTACTTTCAAATCCAAATGCAGAAACAAACACCATAGCTTTCTAAAGTGAAACTTAAAAGAAAGTTAACCTTTTATTTGATGGGTTAACTATAACCTGAAGTTTTCAGATTGCAAGCTATTTTTATTTATTCAGACCTCCTTCTTTTTCCTTCCAAGACCTTACAATGAAGTTTATGTTTCTTCCCATGGGATAGTTATTAAACAGTTTACATTACCTACAAGCCTTGTAATATTACCTCTTATATATTACATGAGCGCCAGCGGTGTCCGTAGTGAAGCATTAAATGAAGCCCATTTTCTTTCATGACTTTCTGCGCTTAGCAACCAGATCCATTACCCTTTATTAGATTAATTTTTGTAAGTTATAATACTTTTATTTCT